AGAGTGCTGTGGCATCACAGCTCACAGCAATCTCCAACTCCTGGGCTCAAGTGAGTCTCCTGCCTCAGCCTCCTGAGTAGCTGGGACCACAGACGCCTGCCACAATGTCTGACGATTTTTTGGTTGCAGCCGTCATTGTTATTTGGCGGCCCGGGCTGGATTCGAACCCGCCACCTTAGGTGTATGTGGCTTGCGCCTTAGCCGCTTGAGCCACAGGCACCAAGCCATACCCCCCATTTTTAACCCTTAGTTCCCTTCTGGTGAAACAGTACCTCTTTTTAATTGTGGTAAGAACACTCCACGTGAGACTGAGCCTGCTAGCTCATGTTCAGCACAACATGCCGTGGCCCCCAGGACACTACTGCAGGTCTCCAGGAATCCCTCCTTCTACTCACCTGGAACTTCACGTCTGCTGATGAACAAGCCCCCGTTCCCCCTCAGTCCCATAACCACCATTCCAGTCTTTGAGTCTCTGGATACTTCACCTGAGTGGAGCCGTGCAGTGTGCATCTGTGTCGGCCTCCCCTCACTGAGCGCCACGTCTTCAGTGTCTATCCATGTTGTCCCCTATTGCAGAATTGCCTTTTCTTATTATTTTAAGCCTGAATAGTATTTCCATAAATAAAATGTCGTGTACACAGACAAGGGACAGCACTTTTTTTTTTTTTTGAGACAGATCTCACTTTGTCACCCTCGGTAGAGTGCTGTGGTGTCACAGCTCACAGCAACTCTTTGGCTCAAGCAATTCTCTTGCCTCAGCCTCCCCAGTAGCTGAGAATACAGGCACCTGCTACAACACCTGGCTATTTTTAGAAGGGAGGTTTCCCTCTTTTTTTGTGTTTTTGTTTGTTTTGAGACAAAGTCTCAAGCTGTCACCCCTAGGTAGAATGCCATGGTGTCATAGCTCACAGCAACCTCCAACTCTTGGGCTCAGTTTTTCTATTGTTAGTAGAGATGAGGTCTTGCTTTGGCTCGGGCTGGTCTCGAACCTGTGAGATCAGGGCAATCCACCTGCTTCAGCATCCCAAGTGCTGAGATTATAGGTGATAGCCACTGTGCCCAGCCAAGGGACAGCACTTTTTCTTTTGCAGTTTTTGGCCGGGGCTGGGTTTGAACCCGCCACCTCTGGCATATAGGGCTGGCACCCTACTCCTTTGAGCCACAGGCGCCGCCAGGGACAGCACTTTTAAAAGTGGCCATTTGCCAAGGGTTTTCTGTTATTTTGAGTAACTGTCTAATTGCAGGACATCTTTTAGAAGAGAAAGTGTAGCCCCCCAGTCTCTGTAGTCAGCAAACTCTGGGCTCAGGTCCCTCCAGCACTGGTGCACCTCTGTCCTCTGCGAGGAACACCTTTGATTAGAGTGCCAGGTGGGGCAGAGCAAACAAGGGTCCTATAGAGAGCACAGTGGCAAGATCTGCCAGAGGGGTTTTATTTTTTAAGTTGGTGACAGGTATTTATTTACCTGTAAGTAACACATTCTTTTTAAGGATGACAGAAAGATGCTGCATTAAGTGAAAAGACTCACCCCCCTAAGATGGAAGCAAGGGTCCTTTGACCCTCCAGAACCTTCCGTGTATAGGTGCTGTGTACTTCTTCCCAACCTCACCACACTGTGCTTGAATCCTCTGGTATATCACTTTTTTTTTTTTTTTTTTT